TTATTATCAAACTCATTCACATTGTAAACCAAGCCTAATTTTTCTGACTTGTGGTCAGACTAGTGTCCTAATTGTGGCTTTTTAGATAGGGGAGAGGGCCCCAAGATGGACACCTCTTCGATTGATGGCTCTAAAATCCAAACCGAATAAGATATGTTAAAATGTTTTATACTCAATGAAAGTACAATTTATTAGGTAACTTATGGCCACTGAGATAAAATTTTATTTTGAACTTAAACATTTTTTATAGCATTTTTTCTAATTGTTAAAATTTTTGACCAAAAAAAAAGTGGCCCCAATAGATGGACACCTTCTTAAAAATCACTTTAAAGTGTGGTAAATTAAAGATAAACATCCTGTATTAATTTTTAAACTAATGTTTAATCATTTTATTCTATTTACTAGGAATAACATTATTAAAAATCCTAATTTTATATAACTTGAGAATGAAAAAAAATAACATATTTAACTTTAATTTGACAAGTTAAGATATATCGATATATCGAATTCTCTATCGATAGCTCTACATTCCATGGCGGTAAAAATAAAAAATCTCAATTACGAGGCTTACAAAATTATTAAAAAAATGTGTAATCGAAAGCATGAAAATAAATACATTGAAATGTGGTGTCCATCTTAGGGTCTCGAAAGTGTCCATCTTAGGGTAAATGACACCATTTTTTGAAACCCAGAAAAAAATTGTATACAAACAAAATATTAATAAAATCATTTTAGAATATTATTATATGATAAATAAATAATATTATAACGATAAATACCTATCTAAAATCAAAAATTTAAATAACTTTATCGACTTGAGAAAAATCGGAAATAAAACTTTTTTTGACAAAAAATTCAGGTGATATGCGCAGTAGAAAAAAAACTGGTTTTATTTTTCAAATATGCATAAAAATCTTCGTCTATACAAACAACAAAAATAAAAAAATTGAGAAGATGCAATTTTTGTCACTTTAAACAAAAATTTTATAGGAAATGTCCATCTTGGGGCCCTCTCCCCTATATTTCTTCGGAACGTTTCACATTTGTCAACACTTATTTGTAACAAAAGTATCAATTTCATAAAGTTCTTCACCTTTATATTACATTACATTATAAATTTCTGATCTTAAAAATGTTGTTTTAAAATAAATGAAAATGTCATCAACTTTTTGGCTCTAGATTTATATCAGTGAAAATGACACGGAACTTGACTGAGAATCGTAAAAATCACCGTACTGTTCAAAATATGAAAAAATATCTACTATTATTTCAATGCTGAATTTAAGTTTTTAAATACTCGACTAAGAGAATAAGGTAGAAAAGAGGTGTCCGAATCTAGCATTCGGAGAATCAACTAGGTGTTGAAACTTGTAACGCCATTCCTATTTGCATATAGTGGAATTTAAAAACTAGATAAATGTAAACTAATAAATGATGCATAAGTGTATTTAGTATAAAAATTCTTTACTACGTGGAACTTGTTTATTCACAACTAATTTCTATCCATGCTAGCTGAAGAGCGACACAAGAATACATATGAGGATCTAATTATTACACGGAGAGAAGGGCGTAGTAGATTCTACTGACATGGCAGTTAAATCTACTAAACAGAATCGTTAGGTTTGGACTGACGGTACAGACAGTGCCATCTACTGCACTGTTTAGTAAGATAGTAAGATACACTGAGCAAACAGTATATTCTACTAAACAGAGAGGTGTCGTAGTGTATTATACTAAACATACAGTTGGCGCCACTAACCGGTGCACTAAATGATGTACTAAACGCGTTCTGTTACATTTACTGCAACTCTTCTCTCCGTGTAGTACAATAAAAATTGAAACTTTATTAGAAAACAGGCGGACATTTAAATATCACTGTCATATTACGCACTACTTGGGATGTATTTTAGCTAAAAAAATACAATTCTATTTAGACAATAAATACAAAATATTGAAATAAATATAAGAATAAAAGAAAAGGGATGTAAATAAAAAAATAAAATAGGCGGATAAAATCTAATCAAACACACACCTATTCACTTTGGAAGAAATAAGTAAGTTGGGTTACGGGACATACATACCTAATATATTCAATCTCTGAAATAGTTAACCACATGGACAAAAAAATGAAGGGCATTCTGATCTCGCCTAAAAGAAGATCTCAAACAATTATTATAAATCTTAATTTCAGAATACCAAAAACATTGTTCTTATACCAAATCACCCATACGATCATTCCAACTATTCCACGCCCTAAAAAGTGCTACAAATGCTAGACTTTTGGATATGTCACTGCCCAGTGCAGAACATCTCACGTAAAGGGAAAGTTCTAAAGCTCAAGCTAGAATGACTATTGTATTAACTGCGCGAAAGACAATTCGACGAAAAATCGTCCTCGATCTTCTGTTTAGTTTTATATACCAATTTGAGATCATGAGGGAACGTTTCATTTATAATCGTACTGAAGAGGAAGCAATCTACATTCTTAGTGAAAATGTTATTCTAAACTCCTGTCTTGACAATGAATTGGATAGTTCGCATTCAACACTAACAATTTAACAATCGCTATAATCCAAAATAATGAACAAAGCACCCAGGAATTAAATGATGAAGGTCAACTCATACATCTAGCGAACCTGATGTTCAGGTGATGTCAAATTGGAAGAAACGGAAGGGAAATAGACTGGCTCGAGATTAATCCATAATAATTTAATTTATTTTGCTTTATTAATTAGTATTGGTTGGCTATTTCAAAGTAGATCACATTATTCATAATTGATAAGAAATTAGAAAATTTGCTATTTGTTCCCGCATATCTACTAAAGGTCTAGAATGACTATTAAAAATCTGTTTATTTCGCTTCTATAGGTGCTAATACTTGTGGTGAAAACTGTACTAGAAAATACACTAAATTAAACCTAATTTAGATTAGATGAATCAAAACTGTATCAAGAATTGGCAGGAAGAATTTTCGAAGCCACAAAATAAAGAAGAAGATAGAAAAAGAGACTGCTTCTATTCTTTTCTATCGTATTCTCTCAGTCGAGTGTTTAAGGGCATGTCAAAGTTAATTTAATTCGCCCACTGAAGCTCTGTATAAAAATTGCATCTACTTGAACATCCCCGTAGCATCCAACAACTTAGCAAATTGACTGTAGGTATTCTGGACTTATCTGTAGCAAAGAAACTCATTTTCTCATAATTAATTATTAGAGAAAAATGCGATCGGTAGAAATTTTGTTATTTTGTGTTCAGAGTACTTTTACAGGCATTACAATCTTTAAAACCAAGTTCTTATTATTTTCTTTAAAAAAAAATATATATATATATATAATAAACTAATGTATCGTTATTATAAACCGACTAAACTGAAGTCGATTGATATCTTAATTACAATACAAATATGACGGGTTCCACGTCAAGTGACCCAGGTCTAAATTTGAAATGTTTGGGATCAGGTAAAAAGTTTGCACAAACAGTAGTCCTATTACATACAATAAAAAATATCAAATATTATTAATTTATTTAAACAGATATAAAAACTGGAGGGGGTCAAAGTTTAAATTTTTGGTCTTACATGGAATATTTGAAAAATTTGTAGTTTCTTTAAAACAAAACGAAAATACGTTTTCTATTTTGGATTTTTCTGCTGTTTTTCAACATTTTCTAATGGTGTAAACAAATGTAGAGAAAAAAAATTTTTTGACCTTGAAAAATTAAATTAAAAAATAAAATTTCATTTTTTTATGAAATGGACAGTTTTTATTTTTAAAAAAAAAATTTTATCATAAAGGTGAGGTTTTTTCCTAAAAAAATGTATAGGTCAAAACGTGGGACAAGAACTTTTAACTGGTCAAAATAAACATTTACTTCTGCAATCCACCGCCCCTGCGCGTTGTTGGACTGTATATTGTTTATAACAATTGAAATATATTATTTTATGCTTTAGTAATTATCTGGTTGTCATATTGGAAGAATTTGAATTGATTTAGATCATGTGCAGCAACGGAATAAGAAAATAAACGTCCTTTTTTAAAAAAGTGTATTAATTTTTTAACTTTGATTAAAAAAAATTATAAATAATTAAAATCCCCAAAATTGTACTCGAAGGATGTCTTAAGAATTTATTCCCCTTTAATTTAAGACAAAGAACACTCAAATCGGTTAAAAATTGTAAGCTGTAGACATTTTTTAATAGTAAATTGTAAAAAAAATTCCACTGCGGGTCGGTGCACTGCAGAAGTAAATGTTTATTTTGACCAGTTAAAAGTTCTTGTCCCACGTTTTGACCTATACATTTTTTTAGGAAAAAACCTCACCTTTATGATAAAATTTTTTTTTAAAAATAAAAACTGTGCATTTGATAAAAAAATGAAATTTTATTTTTTAATTTAATTTTTTAAGGTCAAAAAATTTTTTTTCTCTACATTTGTTTACACCATTAGAAAGTGTTGAAAAACAGCAGAAAAACCCAAAATAGAAAACGTATTTTCGTTTTGTTTTAAAGAAACTACAAATTTTTCAAATATTCCATGTAAATTTTTGACCTGGGTCACTTGACGTGGAACCCGTCATATGTATTTATCAAAAAATTTTAGATTTTACTAAGTACATAGAAAAATTTTCAGCAAAATCGAATTTTTGAGACCAACGCTGTCGTTTTGTATATGTTTAAAGAGTGTGTCATATTTATTTTAGAGAAGTGCAAAAAGCTCGAACTATTCAAGCTTTTTTGCACACTTCTAATTTATACCAAGGTAAATGCAAATTTACACACTTTTGTTTAACGCGTGCAATAAAACTTTTCTTCCTTGTAAAAATAGTTATTTACGATATAAAAGTGCGTAAAGTGTTATATCTGTCTTCTTCGGTAGGCTCTATTTTGTATTCGAAAAAAATGAAAAAATATCAGTCAATTATAGTTCGTGGATAGTCGAAATATTATCACTGCCACCACCACCACCGTCACCACAAAAATGTTCTTTATCTCTCTTCTGTACCTTGATACTGATGTAAAAGACCACTCCTTGACCGCAGTCTGTCCCACAGAGGATTAGCGAGACCATTTCGTTCTTGACTCTTTTGGACCACCCTTTCATTTCTATCTTGCGACAAAACGCCAGAGCTACTACCATCCGACCTCACGAAATTGCAGTTCGTGTAAGGCAAAGAAATGGATTTTATTCTCTCGAGTTTGTACGAAAACGACTTGTCAGGCGAGAGTGACTTTTTTAGCGACAGTAAGGAGTTACTCTGGCGTTTGTTGCCTAACTTCCGCTCTTCATTATTTGCACGAAGCGACTCTTGACTAGATTTGACTTTCTGTGGTGAGTATGCTGTCAAGTAGCTTAATGGTGGGGATTTTGATGTCACCCGTGACGATTCATGAGAGTCCCCATGCTGTTAGTGAAATATCGAAAATATCAGTGCGACTAATAGAAGTTAACTTGCAGTTGCATGTTATGGCATTTTCACATGTAATATTATTTGAAAAAGAAAAACATTTTAATAGTGCGAGTGTAATGAAGCAAAACACGGTATAACTCTTTGCACACGGAGAAAAATTCTTTCTTAATGATTACAATACTTAGTCTATATATTATCTATATTCGGATATGTCATCATTTTTGGTAATGATTACGAAAACTATGTAATGTGTTAAGAAATTGAGTAGGAGCAATTACTATAGCTGGTTTAAACACTGTATTACACGTGTTAAAATTTATTTTTTTTTACCTCAGGGAATGGGGAAAATCGGCCATTTTGCAAATTTTTTTTAAAGTTAATGCAGCGCTTTGCCCTATTCTCCCTTTAATCATTATTATTAAAAGAATTAGGAATAAAATTTCTTGCTTTTCAAATAGTTGACGATATTGTTGCTACGTCCAGCCATATATTTAGAGGTAAACATAGATGCAGCTGATTTTTTTAATTTTACATTCTCATAAAAAATGAGAAGGTCTTATGGATTTGTGCGCTTTTGAGCAATAAAGCATAAATTTTTGTATTAATATATCAGAAATATTAAATACATTAAAGAATTTAGAATAACTTTTGCAATTTTTTAGGAGTGGTTCACTCAAGGTTACACTTTTTCCATTCCTTAAAAATTAGCTTTTTTTAAAGTCAATTTTTTCTTCCAAATAAAAAAAATCAAAGCTATTATGGTATAACACTTATCTAGGGATCTACATTAAAGCTTGGAATAGAAACCTCCGATTAATTTGCTTTCATATAGAATTTTTTCGAAAAAAAGCTTAGGCGGTCCACTCAAGGTGACATTTTCCTATGTATACTTGAAATTAATCTATTAAGTGGAGGTTTATTGTAGGTTTGGTTATGGTCTCACATCACTGGATACTAGGCAATTTGCAGTTTGCTTCTGAACTAGCTCGGGCTGCCTATAATATTCAAACTATTCTCAAATCCTGACATGTAAATCTTCGCACGGTTGAAGATAAAGATAAAATTATTATAATGGGTACATGTCTAGACACAAAAATCTTCTGCCAGAAAACCGGAACAATGCCACTTTTCCAGAACGATGACCTTCAACAAAACGAACATTGCAAATTATTTTGAAAAACTGGAGGAGGTTATGAACCGCAACCCAAATTTCGCTAAAATAGAAACCACTTTAATAACTTGGATCAAATTGGCATATCTACAGTAGGCGTGATAAAAAATGAAAATAACTGTTGAAAATGGTGCTAAACAAATTCACTAAATCAAAACGAGGAGTTCTTGCAACTATACTTGCTACATAATTGAAGCTAAAGAATCTGTTTTACTACCAGCAATGGTTTTTCCACGGGCAACATTTAAAACAAGTATGACAATTAAGCAAACTGTCCATTTTTGAGCATTCTCCCTAACACTTTTAAAAATCCGACTTTAACATTACAACAAAAAGTTTGATAAGATGATGTGTTAATCTCACAAAGTGTAAATATTTGCAATTAATTGAATTGAAGTTTCTATGGGTCATATACCCAATGATATGACCCACACACCCCAACTAAAGAGAAGCTTCCGTGCAGCCTCCAGTAAAAGCTACTTTTTAAAAATTGTTTCCAGTGTTTTTCTGAATTTTGTTCATTTTTATGGTAAAATGAATAAATTTCTTTTACTCCAGAATTTTGAGAAGATGAAAATTCTTTTGTAAGCTTCCCTTGAGTTTCTGATGGAGGCTTCTCTTAAGATTGTAATGGAACCTTAATCTTGTGCTTTACTGTATAGGGATATGGAAATGAGAAATATGATAAACTTAATCGATGGTATACGCAATACAAGTATTGCGAATAAAGACAGTTTTTTTATTTTCTTTCAAGGAGAATAACTATCCTAATCAACATTAAACTAAAAATACAATATGTGATGAGAATGTAATACTTAAAGTCATAGTAACTTCAAGAAAAGAAGATCGGCTTTGTGTGTTATATGGTATTAGTTGAAAATGAAAATAATTTTTTTTTGAGAGAAACATGGATTGAAGATGAAAATAAAATATTATCTTATTGCAGAGGAAGGGCGGGCAGATTTTTTTCTCTCTATTTAGAATATTGGAGGTTGGACATAGCAACAATATCATCAAATATTTTGTCTTTTTAGAAACAATACTTTTAAAACCAAGAAACATTTGCTTTATTACCTGTCTCATTGCTAGTTTTTGAAACATACAAATGTTTCAAAACTCTTCTTTTATTCGACTTATTTAAAGTTTTTTCTTTAAATTTAAAAAAATTACAAACACTTTTTTTCTACAAAATCGAAACTAGATTTTTAAACACTACCTATTTCTTAAAACATTGAAAAAGAGTAACATGTTTATAGCTTGATTTTTCTCTAAGTATGATATATTTTTGGGAAAGATATTCTAGAAATGAAAGAGAGATTTCATTGTTTATTAAAGTGCAATTCTAAAATTATTGCAAAAACTCAGTGGAAGCCCAAATAACACCATAATATGCAATTGCAGCAGAGTTAAGAATTAATATGCATTGTTATCCACATCTACAGTGTAAAATAAAAGAAAATTAAGAGTTACGTGTATTTATACCTTAAGCTGTTGCTGCAAACGATGAATTTCCTCTCTTTGCTCGGTTATTTCCTTTTCTCTTCCTCGCAAAAGTTGCAATGTTTCATTGAAGCTCGTGTCGTTTGTTTCAAGAACCAAATGGGCCCGAAGTTGTTTGTTCCGCGCGTCTAATTGTTTGATGTGTTGCTGTGCCTGATTTACTTGCTTCGTTAGACAACCTACTTTTTCTTCAAGCGCTGCGGACTCGACACATTTTGATGAATACTTCGATGAGAGGGACAAAATTTCTTGCTTAATTTCTTCCATCTCTACCCTAAAAGTTAAGTACACTTCAGATTTATTATTTGTTACAGCAAAGGATTTTTTAAAAATTAGCGAAATTTTTATTTTCTTTTATTATTATTGTTTAAAATTGTAAACATATAACCGACAGATTAGCTCAGTCGGATAGATGCCTCGCATTGGCGGTCGTTTAAGGACCAAGGGTATAAGTATCCTTGGTTCGCGCCCATTTGGCTTGGTATTTTTCCGGCACGTGAGACAATCTGAGCGGGAGGTTTGACGTCGAGGTATAATGATGTGCACCGTCGATTATTGTCCGGTACACACCATTAGAACTCGACTGTCGATAAACCGGTTGTACTCAGAGAGGTTTCCTACAGTTTCCCTCTTCTCTGGCGAGAAAACCCATTGACGGGTGGTCCAGGCGGAATGCGAGTACTCCTAATAAAGTCGGCTGTAGACGCAAATTAGGTTAATATATATTGAAAAATTTCTAAGTAGAATGGTTATGCTTAATCCAAAAAAGTATTTCTCGGGGACTCTTGTCGAAGTGCGTAAGGCCAATAGGGCAGGAGTAAAAAAAAAAAAAAAAAAAAAAAAAAAAAAAAAAATTGTAAACATATACATTTTATTTTGAAATAGCAGACAAACAAAAAATAAAATTTATTGTAATAAGGAAACAAAACTTAACAATTTTTCTGAAAATGTTACAAAATCAAAATAGAAAAGTTTGTTAAAAATATAAGAATAACTTTTAAAGTTCCATAACCAACTTGTTGAACCACTGAAATTGCTTCGATTGATCAATTTTGGAACTTAATATGATCAGAAATTATAAAATTATAGTTTTTCAAGATGAATTTTGTTTCAAAAGAATGCAAATCGAGCACAATTTTCTTTATAATTTTAACTTTACGAATCTGACTTCCTGGACATATTATAGTTTTAATCTTGCTTGGAATAACGAACAAACCCAGTTGCCACTTCTATTAGAGTTAATGGAATTAAATAAATAATTTTAAAAAAAGGCATATAAATTCTTTTGTTTGACTACTAGTTATTTTTGGAATGTTTGTAATTTCTTTATTGGAATCGATGAATGAAAATTGTTTACTTTTTATACCATTTGTAGCTAAAATGTAAGCATTAATTAACTATATTATTAATCTTCATAAATTCTTTCATTCATTCTGTCCGCAGTTTGAAGTTAGTTTTTGTGAATGCTTTTGTTTTTTTTTTTTCTTTAAAAAATATTGTTTGACAAATCATTAACATTAACAAATGAAAAATATACTCATTTTGTTTTATACTTTTTTCTATAACAAATTTCGTTTCACTGATCAAAATTATGCAAATTTTTCTCCTTTTTATTTATAAAAAATAGAAAATTGTTAAAAAATTATGATTAAGAAATAGGAAATAAATACCCATTTTATGCATAATTTTCATTTCTTAATAACAATATTGTTCGCAAACTAATTCTTTTATTTTGGGGAAAAAACATTACATATTCCCGTAACTTAAAATTTTTGTAGAAAATTTTCAATTTTCATGGAAATAAGTTAATTTCTATTTCTTAATTACAATTTTATTGTTTTAATAAAATTCAAAGTTTTTTGAAAATAAAGGAAAAAAATGCTTATTAATTCTTTTTTGTCAATTACAAATTTTAATTGAAAATGAAATTAAAATTTTTTAATTTTTAGAAAATAAAGGAAAAAATTACTCAGAGTCTTCGACTCGGAGTCAACGGTTTCTTCATTTTTTATAATAATTAAAGATGTTTAAGAGATAAAATAATTATTTTCATATTCAATTATTATCTAAAATTTTAACTATAATTCATTTTTAAATAAATTTTTATTAGAAAATTCTATGAGAATTTAATTATTTAAATACAAAAGTAAATTATATAATTGAATGTTTCGCTTACGTTAACTTTATGATATCAGTGTTGTTAATTTCAAATTCAATTTTATTTCAATTTTATGTTAATTTTACTTTTAATTTTACTTTTGTAAAATTAATCTTAGTGATAAAGTGTTGGCTTGTTGCTAGCTTTTAATTCTTACATATTCTATAATCAATATTTTTTTACAAGCATATACCGACACATTGTAATTCTATGTAAATTGTGTTGTATGTTAGTACAACTAGTTATGCGGGGAATAGAAATTGTAAAAACTGTAAAAAGTGTACAATGAAGAATAAATCTAATCTAATCTAGGTATAATTAAATGTTCCTTAAAATTTAATTCTTGTAAAGAATTTTATTACAAAATTTTTAAATAATTGAATTCTTTTGACGAATTTTAATAAAAATTTTAAGAATAGTTGGGCGTTTTTCTAGAACTTTTAAACTTTATGTTGACGCTGATTATGATACCTTAAATATTGTAAAAATAATTTTGCAACACCACATTTCAACAAATTTTTGTTCGCTTTACATGTTCCAAGTGTTAAAAAATCATTATGATAACGTAAAAAACATTGAGAGTAAAGAAAAGTGGTGAATTTCACTGTTACTAGTGAGTGACACTGGCTGTATTTTTGCAGTTAAAGCATTATAATTTTTTTAACAATTATTTTTATGGTTTGTAACTTTTAGTACAAGTAAATGGGAGTGTAAACAATTGAAAAGTTCTTGGGGCAATGATGTGTCTTACCAAGGAATAAAATTATGTACCTCCAAACTTGCGTGATAATTATTTTTATGACTTTAAAATTTAGCAATCAACCTGAGATATCTTTTTTAACATTGGTTTTTAAGAAACCAAACTACGAGAGCACATTATTTATACAAATAGAAGTAATTTGAATCCTTACAGGAATCTGTGCCACCGATGCGTACAGAAGATTAAAATTTTAAGTCGTAACTCATTTTAAGAAACCATATTTTTGAATAGCACATCTTAAATTTAGCTTCTAAACACTTTAAACTCATTGTAATTTCTTATTTTATTTTATAAAAATATATAGGAGAATCGTTATCTTCTACACTATCCATTAAAACTATGAAAATAATAAAAACTATGAGTTTTCATTATAAAGCTCATTGATTTACTTTTTGCGGGAAGAAAATTTTTTTAATCGAGTTAAAACAAACGACGAGCGATGAATTTGTTGTAATTTTCACTGTATTTACAATTTAACCTTTGATTTCTATATCATGTGTTTTGTATAAATAATTAATTAATTATGGATCAAGAGCGAGAATTAAAATTACTCATTAAACGAGAAAAAATGCAGCAGAAACGAAAGTTGACAAGAGAGAAAAAAGAAATTGAGATTGCACGACTAAAAACATTGAATGAAATGAATAAGAACAAAAATTCTTTAAAAGAATTAAAAAAAGATTCAGAAATAACGTTTGATAAACTTCTGCTTCGACGAAATTTGACAAGACTTTCTCAAGAAGTGTCAGTAAATTCTATTTCAAATGAATTTGATACAAATTTGATTTCAGAAAAAAGTGGACAAAATGTTTCTAATCTCATTGACAGTAGTAATAATTGTGAAGGCTATGTTGTTCAAGAAAATGAAAAAAGTAATGTAAATGAACCAATTTATATTTCTCAAAATAGAGATGAAAACTCTTATCGTGATAATGAACAATTAATCAACAATGAAAATGAAAATAAAGTGATAAAAAAATTAAAACATTCATTAATTTGCGCAAAAAATAGAGCCGCTCATATTCAAAGAGAAAAAATTAAATTGCAAGGTACTATTAAGAAAAAAAATAGAATAATTCACAATTTAAAGTGTCAGTTATATAGATTAAAAAATAAAAACGAAAAAAAGAATCCTTTACTTCAAAATGTGAAAAAAATTGAAAATGCTGGGAGAAAAGCGGTTAGAAAGCGTTTAATATATTGTGAAGCATTGGAAGCACAATTATTAGAAAGAAAACAAAATTTGAAGAACGAAAAGGAAAAATCTATTTTTTCGCAAGCAATTGCAGGAAGAGTAATTAAAAAGTACCGATTTATGAGAAAGACGTCAGGAATTGTGAGTCTTTACTTACAAAAAAAACATTTGAAATCAACAAGTCTTCTTCTGGGTAAAAAAATAAATTATTATAAATAAAATACTACTTCTAAAAATTTATTTATTTTGTAGTTGTTTAAAATTTTGTTTACAATTTTTTATTATACTCTCTTTATGCAATTTTTTTGTTCCATAATTACTAATAATTCAGCGATTAATATTATAAATTATTATTTGCTTTTTAGTATAAAAGTAAAAATTATTATTATATAATCTTTTAATATCTATAATTTAAATTAATTAAAAAAAATTAAATCAAAATTAATTATTATATAATTTTATAGATAGAAAGAAAGAAAAAATAATGAAATTTCAAAAAATTGCAAGAGAAAGTGTTCAAACTTTTCTTGAAAAAGATGAAAATTCGGCTTTAGCTCCAGGATCAAAAGACGTAATCAGTAAAAACAAGGAAATTAAAAGAAAGCGATATTTATTGGACACTTTGACAAATTTATATGAAAAATATAAAAAAGAAAATTTGTTTGAAATATCTTGGACTACATTTACGCGCTTACGACCCTTCTGGATTGTTAAAAAGAAAGTAACAAATCGCGATACTTGCTTATGTAAAACTCATGCGAATTTTGAGTTACTCGTGAGGAAATTAGCACAGTTACACGTTTTGCCTAGTGGCAACCCAAGAGATTTTCTACAATCTGTAAATTGTGATACCAGTCTTCAAGATTGTATGTACGGGAAATGTTTAAAATGTAATGTGAAAAATGTTGATAAAGTTAATGATTGTGAAACATCTTCTTACTTTAAGTGGGTTACATCCAAAGAAGATAGGGTTGGTAAACATGGTAAAATGTATCACGTTACTATTTCTAAAAAAGCAAAGATTGAGTGTACAGTAAATGATATGATTGAAGAATTAAATTTAATTACTCCATCATTCTTAAAACACTGTTATGATACTACACATCAGTATAAAGCTTTAGAAAAATTGAACTCTGGTTTAGAAAGCAATGAAGTAAAAATTGTTATCGATTTTTCGGAAAATTATGTTTGCAAATATGCAAGTGAGATTCAAAGTGTTCACTTTAGTGCTTCGAAGACACAATTAACACTTCATACAGGAGTTTTTTACTATAAAAAAATTAATGAGTCTAAAATTAGTTGTGTTTCGTTCTGTACAGTATCTGAATCTCTGAGACACGATGCTTGTTCAATTTGGGCTTATTTACAGCCTATATTGAAATTAATTAAAACGACAGTACCAAGTGTAAATGTAATACATTTTCAAAGTGATGGACCCGCCACACAATATAAAAATAAAACAAATTTTGACCTTTTTGAGCAACATTGCAAAAAGCTATCTCTTTAGTTAGCTACATGGAATTTTAGTACGGCAGGGCATGGCAAAAGTGCCGCTGATGGTACTGGAGGTACCATCAAATCACTATGTGATCGAGCTGTATCAGCTGGAAAAGATATTCTTTCAGTTCAGGATGTTATTCATATTGTACAATCTGCATCAAAAATTAAAGTATTCCATGTAGCTGAATCGGAAATTCCAACTATTGATTTATTATTACGACCAAATTTGAAATCAGCACCAAACTCCCAAAAAATTTTTCAAATTATTTGGAATTCAGAAAGTTCGGATACCCTTTTCCTCAATCATCTTTCGTGCGTTGATTCCACATGCTTCATAAGTCCACCGTGCAAGCATTTTGCAATGTCGGAAAAAGGTTGGAATTTGAGCGCAATAGAATCATCAAAAAGAAAACACGCTGAATTCAATATTGTTCCAAAATCAAAGAAACAAAATAAAAATGTTTCTGAGAAAAGCAGTCAAATAAGAACTCGCTCCTCCACTCGAAAATTGAATTCTAAATAATAGACCTCGTTTTATTGTTAATTATTTTTTGTTTACCATGCTTGTATTTTTTTAATTAAAAAAATACACTTTTTTATGAAAATTTAATGTTATAAGGCTTACACCTAATTTTATATTTGACGAGTAATGTTGAGTTAAAAATATAAAATAACAATGTGTAAAAATAAGTGACTCTTGGTTTTTTCTGTTATTTGATCAATTCTGAAGCCAGTAAAATTAATAGCATGAATGTGCCTTGAAAAAAAAAATTAAGTTTCCTAATACCTCAAAGTTTAAAAGTTCTAGAAAAACGCCCAACTTTACATTTTTCAAGGGACTCGATTAAAATTGTATTAAAAATAATTGAAATTCTGCGATGAGTTTTATTATTTATGAAAATAATTGAATTATTGAGAAAAACATAAAAATTTTGTAAACAATAGAATTCCTGTACTTGTATTATTTATGAAAATAATTAAGGGGACACCTAAGTCACCTAAAAACAATGCAAAAAGAGTCAACTTTCGGTACACTTTTCTCGAAAACTATTATTCCAATTGCGTTCGCCCTTTTTTCATTCGATTACAAATATAATCAATTATATGAATAAGAAGTTATACGACGTTATCTTCAATAGAAACTTTTTTATGGATATTTATACCAAAAGCAAAATAAAAATCCCATTTTCTCTGATTCATTGACTCATATCTCCGTTTGTACAACTCAAAATGATGTTAAACTTCTTATTCGTATTCTTGGAACCTTACTGAACAAAGTAAAAAAAAAATTACAAATCGGTTTAGTAGATTCGGAGAAAAGTGTACCGAAAGTTTAAAAATTGGAAAAAAACAATTTTTACAGGAGACACGAAAAAAGAAAAAATACTAAAAACTCATGGTATTCAGAATCATGTAATCAGATTTTTTCAACTCTTTAGAAAAGGTTTTAAAAAGTCTTGTTCTATTCCTAATTGAGTCTAACTTTTAGAAAATCAAATAAAAAAAATCGATTTTTTGTCATTTTTCCACTTAGGTGTCCCCTTAAATGTTTTCGTACAATTTTATTAAAATTTTTTTTAAATAATTGATTTCTTTTGGGTAGTTTTATTAAAATAGTAGAGATATTAAAAATAATTGAAATGAGGAAAATTTTCGAATATAAAAATAATTGATTTTAGAAGAAGAATTTTTTTATTTAAAAATATAATAATTGGGATTTTGTCGAAATTTTTTTGTAAATTTTGAAAATTATTGAATTTTGTGATAAGAATTTTATTACATTTGAATTTCTGCAATAATTTGTAACTTCTTTAAAATTCAATTTTTTTAGTGTTTTTAACTAAAATTCTTCTATAAATCCATTATTTTTATTAATTAGTTAAATATATATTGACAAATTTAACTAATTTTAGAAGATTTTGAATTATTAAAATTTTTCAAAAATCTAAGTTCATTAAAATTTCTAATTAAATTCAATTCAACATTGAAATTTTATAAAATTAAAACGCAACTCTTTTAAAATTGAATTAATTTTGTAAGGCTATGAATCATAAACATTGTAAATATATTCGGAATGTGAAGTGTGTAGAATGAGTGGGAAAAATTTTCGATACTAAATAAATTGCGACGATATATTATAATTGGTAGCATTCTCTATATAACCGTTTCATTATAAAGACGTGTCCTGTAAATCAAGGAATACAGAGACTAAATTATTATCTAAAGAAAATCAATATTAACAAAATTATTGTGTGTATTTGTGATAAGTGTCGACCCGTCAATCGAAAGCAGGTCGTTAATTATATTGTAAATATCTCAAACAACTATATTGAGAACGTGTCCGTCTTCGAAGGATGTTACAAAATTGATATAAATAACAATATCATCGGACCTGGTCCCTTGGTGCAGCGAGAACGAAACCTAAAGAAAGGAAATTCTGCTCACTTAATCCCCTCACAGGTTCTACGATGCATTTAAGTTACATTTCGTATTCAATTATTGTGAACATCAAATGAGACGTAAGTGATTTTCACCGATATATAACGTAATTGTTTCTTTTGCGATATATCATATGTATATATCTAAGTTAGGTATTTGATAATCTACACTTTTCGGCATATATGTGATATGCGATATATATATATATATATATTTCTGGATAATTTTGATTTAATTACGAAACTGAATCAGGGCGTTTTGAGATATAAAAATTGAACAGTAAATTGGAGTATTGAGGATATTTTTATCTTTTCTTTGTTATAAAAAGTTATACGACACAATTATTTATTAAATATTTTACCAAATATAAATTTTGAGAATTGCTAATTTTAATTTTATTTTCTTGTCGAATTTTGTTTACGCGATGAGCTCATCTTTATTGTGTGTATATAATTGTATAGTTTGATGCGAATGAATGAATCTAATTGCTTTATAACGAGAAATTATATAATTGTAATTTTAGAAAATATTTTTTTGATTACTATAATTCCATCCTCAGAGTAATAAATTTCTACAAATTAAATAAAATCTATTTTTTCTTTTTTTTTTTTTTTTTATATCTTGCATATATTTTTTTTTGTTCAGTAACAAGAGAGGAAACAATTTTGTTACAATTTTGAGATATTTAAGTAAAATTATTCATTAAATAATTTATTTATTTTAGAATAGTTGTTCAAGATTTAATTTATTTAAAAATAAATTATTTTCAGAAATTGAAGGTTTTGTTTTATAATTTGTAGTAATTTCATAGTTTATGAGGCAAACAAAAAAGACACAAAAATTTGTAATTTTCTGATAAATTCTAAAAATGTAATTTTTTTCAATAGTTTTAATAAAAATCCCTAACTTTTTCCTGAATTTCCTGTGTCAGAATATATGATATTATAGTTATAATAACATTAAAACTATATTCCAATTTATATTTTATTTTTATGAAAATAAATTTGAATGAAAAATTTAGACGTTCTATTGGGAACGGTGGTCGTGACGTCACAAACCAATATGGCCGGCGAGATCGGTCTGTTTTAATGACAGATGTAAAGTAAACACGTGTAATTTTGATTGAAAATCAAAAAATGCAGCTTTTTTGAACAGAAATATTGGTTTTCACACCAATTCGACACATTTAAGTCGAATTTTATAGAGGGTGAAAGGTTATAAAAAATGCCGGACATGTTACCTTTTGTAGAAAACTGCAAATGGAAAAATCAAAATCAACCAAAAGTTCATTGCATTCTGTTTGCAAACATCGAATATGCGTGATAATCGAATAATGTTTGAATCTTCATTATTCCCAAAATATTCAATAAAAACTGATTTCGATTTTACAGGAACAAAAAGAAACTTTTAATGCTTTTAATCAAGATAAAACTATCGTCAACATAACCTATAAAATTCTTGAGAGCGCATCACAAATAGTAATTCTGTAACAATTTAAAGCCTTAATTATATTTAAGCAGATTTAATACAATTTTTAATAACTTCCCTGCTTCAGTAAAAAAGAATAATCATCTTTTGTGAAATGCGACTCCTTTATGCCCAATTTATTTTCGAAATTGACCATTAATTCTCCAGCTCTTGGAAATCTTTGACCAAGTTGAACTTTAAAACATTGACCAACGAAAAAAAATATTCGCTAAATAATTTAATTATAGATAAAGCAACAATATTGCCACAAAATATTTAGAAAAAAATTTATGTTTATGTTTTGATGATATTATTTTACAATTTTACGAATACAGCACTTTCTACTGCTGCACCCAAAAACTGAGCAAAAATTATTGGTTTTTGATGTTTTGGGAGTAAATCTTACTCCGACGAAATTCGATTTAATTTCTTCAATTTATTATTTACTTTTTATGAAGTTCTTTCTATTTTAAACCTAAAATATAAAACGATTTAATATGTTATTTACATCTGTCACGTGTATTTTCCCTTATACCAGACCGATCTCTCTAGTTCCAATTTTCACCACCAGATGGCGTATCGCAGTTTAGCCGTTCCCAATTATTTTTAAAATTGCCAATTTTATTTAAAAAAAATAAAAGTAAAAAGTAAAAATTGTTGCTGGTTTAAATTAAAAATATAAAATAAAATAAAAAGACTAAAACTCACTCATGTTCCTTGTGAAGGATTCCAATGTCCTCCCTTGCTTGAACCTGTTTAATAAATTCCTGCTTAAACTTGGCAATTTCCTTTTGCACCTCATGTTCGTGAGCTTTCCTCATAGCGTCAAGAGCAGCCAGAGTAGCCTGTGTTTCTTCCGAAAGCGCCTGCTCCTTTTCGACTCTCAAGCTCTCCAATTCTTGCTTATGCTTCTCTTCCATCTCAGACAAGATTCGCCGATGTGAATTTTCCATTGCCAACAATCCTTTTTCGCAAAGCGCCCGAAGTTGCTTAATCTCTTCTTTGTACCTCTTTCTCGTTTCAGCATCAGCATCCAAGTCCGTGGTCACTGATCGTTGATAAGCAGACCTTAGTTCATTAACATGAGCCGAATGTTCCGAATCCATTTCGTTGAGACGATTCTCTAGTAGTCTGGCCCTCTCCCTGAGACTCGCTGCTTCCAGTTCATACTGCGAAGTCATCGAATGTCTCTGAATGTCCCATTCTCCCTTGATGTCCATCAAATCTTGCTCCTGGTTTCTTTGCAATTCTTTCAATTCGTGGGAGTGATCTGCACTCATTCTGTGAATTCTACTCTGGAGCATTTCACACTGTTTACACGAGGCACTTTTCATGTAATCGCCGATTCGCTTGATTTGTTCCTTTAATTCCGAGCACTTGTGGCAAACGCTGTTCCAGTCAGAGATCACAATATTAGATTTCGGCCAATCGATTTCCCGGAAGCACATCTTCAGACTCGCAATATCTTCCTCCATGCCGATCAACAAGTGTGAGACATTCTTCAGCTGATCCTTGCTGCGATTGTTGACGGAGATTTTCTCCTCGCACTCCTTTGCGAACTGCTGATAGAGGTAGATGTATTCGGAATCAAGAATCGGATTGCTCTCCAACATGCAGTCCGCCTCGAGAATGCTCGAGAGAATATCCTCCTGTTGAATGAGACTCGAAACAAAGGTCTTTCCCGTGAACGTCAACTTTTGCCTCGAGTTCTCCTGAAGCAAGAAGATTCGAGCGTCGATCAGCGCCTTTTGCGCCACCACATCGGCGTAGTCCGTCAGCAACTCTCTCGACTCGTTCTTGGTGTCCAATTTCGATTTACTCATTTTCATTCGCCTGAGACACTCCTCGTAGATGCCGGTCAGTTCTTCGATGGAGTATTCCATCTCCTCGCGCAACTTGACTTGCGCTTTGTCAGCCCATGATTCTAAGACAACGTTGTCTGCTGTGTCGAAAATGAAGCAGGTGTCGGTGAACGACGTGATATTTTGTTCGTATAGTTGTCCGCAGCGCATGATGAAATGCGAAATCTCCGCCTGCACGAGTTCCTTGCTGACCGTTTCCTGGGCCAGTGCCCAGGCCTCGCGGATTCTTCTGTCTTCAACTAACTTGCTTTCTCTTCTCTCGTCCTGATTAATTTGACAATTGAGTTCCTCCTGCTCGGACAAACTCAACGTTTCTGTTGCCAAAGCTTCGGCGAGATGCTTCAACTTGGCGTCCTTGAACCGTCGCATGATCTCATTGATTTCCTTTTGTTTCTGAAGCAGAAAATTGAGACTCTCAGCTTGAGCAGCCGAGACTTCCCGCACCTCTGTTGTTGATTTCGTCGTGCCACTAACTAGCAATAACTTATTGGCTAAAATTCTTGTGAGATAATCGATAAAACTTGTGTTTTGGTAGGTTTTGGGCTTAGTTCCATAAATCTTAGATTTTAAGTTAGAAATAAGCTGACTAGTTTCGACCAACTCGCTCAAGACGATGCTCTTGTTCGTCGATCTCGACATTGCACACTTGATCTGCCGGAGAATCACGCACTCGAATGCTACTCTCTCGGCGATCAGTTTCGCCTTCTCTTTGTCGTTGAGCTGCCCATCCTGCGCAAGCACTTGCCGCCGCTTCATTAGCTCGCACATCTTATCTCTAAGAATAATTTCTAGCCTAGATACTACAACACCTACTGACTCTGTGACCTGAGAGTTGGCTTGATTTTTCTTGCATTCGACACACGTGTCGAGAATGTCGTTCACGGCACGAAGGCACTTTTCAGCCTTCTCCTCGGCTTGCGTGGAACCCAGACACTTCTCCAGTCGTCGCTTTGACTTTGCAACTGCCCGCTCCAGTTTCTTCAGTCTCGATATAACCTCGAGCGACACTTCACTAGTAGATGAGGCACTAATTTCGCTACATTCGCTCGAATCCTTCTCAGCGTCGCTCGCCAAATTCTCGGCAACATTGGTCACTTTCGTTTCTAGTGTGCTTAATCGAATGAGCACCTTCATCGGCTCAGAGTTGGTTGCGCTGTCCAACGATTTTCTCCGCAACCTCGCGCGGTCCAAGCTTCGATGCTCCCGCCTTCGTTCCTTCTTTGGGTTAGGACTTGGTTCTTTCGAATTTAAAGCAATACTTTTGCCGCGCTCGATCGCGCAAATCTTGTTTTCAAGGTCGAGGAGTTTGTCCTCGACTTCTTGGGAAATTTGAAAAGACTCCCGTCCCTTCAGTGAGAGGGATCGTCTCTTGTCCCTCGTTTCGGCTTTGGTCATCTTCTGCTTCATTGTTCTCATCTGTTTCTCGCTCCCGGCGAGTTTGTTCGTCAAATCTTGTATCCTTGCGGCCATTAATTGCATTTGCGCTTGATTTGCATCGTTGGCTCGCCCCGACTCTTGTTTGAACGCAAAAACCTGAAGCTCAAGGGCATCCTGTGCAGCGTGTGCCTCTCGAAGTTCTTTACGCATTGCACGAACTTCCAATATGGCTTTTTCAAAGCGGCCACGCAATTCGTCGTATTCCTCCATTACTCGCTCCTTGTCGAACGCATTCAAATCTAAATCGAGATCGATGTTTGTCAAATCACTTAGCGAATCAAAACTTTTTCCTCGTTCTCTTGCTGCCGAGAGACTGCTCTTTCCTTCCAGTTCTCGAACTTTCGTGTACAGTCTTTCATTTTCTTCAATCCCTAAAATTACAACATTGAGTAATTAATATTTTATATTTTTCAAGGAAACTAACATATTAAAACAATTGAAAAATATAAGATTCTAGAAATAAAATGTTATCTAGAAAAGAGATAAAATCATAGGATAGGATTTTTTCTCTCATAACACTTCCGAAAAAAAAATTTTTTAAACTTCTTATCGGACCTATTGGAGGTTATAGGTCTCAAAAAACTGAAAAGAATATTTGCAATACACCAAACAAATTTTATTTTAAAGCAAAAAACCATTTTTTTATTCATGTTTAAAAAAATCTTGTAAAATGTTTATTTCTGAATCAATTTCAAAAATTACCTTTTCTTTTTAAAGCTGAAGACAGAGCTGTCTAAACCACATATGGCTTTTTGTGGTAAAATTAATATTTGAGCTCGGGATCGGGCTCGGGCTGCCTTTCTCAACCGCAATTTCTACTTCGAGTTATATAGAAGTGGAAAGAAGACTGGTCTTCTTATTGGTCAAATTCAGTCCCCACCGCGCAATTCGAAGTAGATATTCCGATTGAAAAAGTAGCCCGAGTTCACAATCTACATAATTTTTAGTTAAAAGTAGGAAAAATTCAAACATTCAAAGAATATAATTTGAAACCTTTTCAAAATTCAATTATTTCTAAAAGTTCACTCTATAATACTTTCTGTATTAATTTGAATTAGTAAAAATATTTACTAATTGGAATTAGTGACTGAATTTTTGCTTTTGAATTAGTAAATTTTACTATTAAATTAGTAGAAACGACTATTTATTAGTAAAATCTGCTAATTCAAAAGCAAAAAGTTCAAAAAGTTTAATTCAAATTAGAAAACATTTTTATTAATTCAAATTTAGAGAGTTTAATATTCAATTATTATCTAAAATTTTAGCTGAAATTCATATTTAAATCAATTTTTATTAGAAAATTCTACGAGAATTCAATTATTTAAATACAAAAATATAGTATATTAAGCAACAAGGGTATAAAGGCAGCCATTTGTTTACGGTGATTTTTGTGACACGAGCGGAGGTTCCATGGGCAAGAACGGCAAGAATAATGCATGGGAACAGCTGATTTTCTTGCCCATGGGAGAACACGGCCGCCATTTTCATACTGTCGAAGAAATGAATGACTTTACTCCCTGCCGTCTGCTATCAGAAAGCGCCATTTTTATGCATGTGGGATAAAAAATAATTTATTGAATGTTTTTTAAAATTGAATTTAAAGAATTTTATCAACAAATTTTTAAATAGGTAATTAAAATTCTTTTGACGAATTTTAATAACATTTTTAAGAATAATTTCATTTTTCGAGAAATTAGATTAAAATTGTATTAGAAATAATTGAATCTCTGTAAATAATTTGATTGAATTGAGAAAAGTTTTTGAAAATAATTGAAATTTCGCCAAGAATTTTATTAAAATTTTTGAAAGTAATTGAATTTTGGAAAAAACTTTTATCATTTATAATAAATAAATAAATGATACCTAATTGAATTCTTGTTTTAAATTTTATTGAAATAGTAGATATTGAAAATAATTGAATTTTGATAAATTATTTTAATTAATTAAATTTCTACGAAGAATTTTATTAAAATTATTTTGAAAAAAAATGATTTGTTAAAAAGAATTTCCATTGAAATTTTTAAAAGTAATTTAATTCTTTCAAGAAATTTAATTAAAAGTGCATTGACAATAATACTTAAATTCTAATAGGGTCAGTTGGGGTAAATCCGGACAAAATACCTATTTTTCACAAATAACGTATGTTTTTTATTAATTATAAAAGGCAATACTTCCGGTTTTATATTGTATTGATTTCTTCCTTGAGTTCCCTAGATTAATTTTATGGAGCAGTAAATATTTAGATCAGCTTTAATCGCATAAAACTAACTGTCCGAATTTACCCCAAAATTTAGAAAATTTCCTAAAATTAGGGGTAAATCCGGACAGCTTAGTTTCTAAGAAAGGTTTTAAAAAAAAGTTACCTTAAGTATACTACTGTATTAAGGGATGGAAAAACTTGTAAAAAATCCATAGTAGGTATATGAAAGTTCAATCAGTTAAGTGTTATAGTATCATAAAAGTTAAGAAATCAACCATTCGAAAAATAGTAATGAAAAACTCAAATAACTTTAACAAATTTTAATGGATTTTAATTAAACTTGATAAAAAAATGTTTTTGGGGTTGCTGAATAAGAATCTAAAGTCAGATTTTGAAAATTCAAAATGGCGGATCCAATATGGCGGACAATTTTTAAAAATTGGTCGGATTTGCTTGAAAATTGTTACTCGGGGGTTTTTGGGGTCGCTGATTACGAATTTGAAGTCTCTCACTCTCTCTTACACTTTCTACTTTTTAAAATGTAATAGAAGCTCGGTCCGGATTTACCCCAAGTTTTCGAATTCTTGGGGTAAATTCGGACAGCTTGTCATTATTAACTGAATTGACAAAAATCCAAATCAATTTTTCTTCCGGGAGTCATAAGGATAAAAAAATTTTATATGATTTTTAAGTTTGTTACTTTTCAAATGCGAGATGAAATACTGAACCAGTCTGAAAATGATTGACAACTTTTTTGCATTAAGCGATAACTTTAATTATCCTGTTGCTAATTGTCAAGATAAAAACTTGGCAATACTCAAAATCTCTTGTAGGTGATCTGAGCTTGAAATATTGACGTCGAATTTAATTTTTAATTTGTAAATTAAGTTCCAACCTCTCTTGTCCGCATTTACCCCAACTGACCCTAAATAAATTATAGGAAGGCATTTTAAAATAATTGAATTTCTTTTATGAATTTTAATAAACAATTTAATAAATTAAAATTGGATTAAAAATAATTGAAATTCTGCGATGAGTTTTATTATTTATGAAAATAATTGAATCTCTTTAAAATTTGATTATTTATGAAAATAATTGAATTATTGGGAAGAAATTTAAAAGGATTTGTAAATAATAGAATTCCTGTGAAATTTATATTATTTAATTAATTCATTTAAAATTGAAATTTTACAAAATTTCAAATTACAACCTTTTGAAGTTTATCTGTTTATGAAAATTGTAAACGCAACTCTTTTAAAATTTAATTAATTTTGAAAGATTTAAGAAAAACTAGATTTCAAGAATAAGCACAATAACTTTAGAAAACAATAATTTTCCAGGATTACGATAAAAATTCCCTGACTTTTCCAGGTTGCGTGGCAAATAGGTACATACCCCTCTCTTCAGTTTTTTGAGACCTATAACTTCTAATAGGTCCGTTGTTCAAAGTAAAAAGCTAGTAACCGCATTTTCCGTAAGGTCGCGATTTGTTTATGTAAACTTTCACCTTGCGGAAAATGAAAAGTTTAAATGAAGAATTTAATAATTTACCTTGCGATAACCTGTCGCTTAAAGCCGTTATCTCCGCCTGAAGACGCTCAACAGTTCTATGACTGGATGAAAGTTCATTTGTAATCAATTCACATCTCTCTGTGGTTTCTCGTAAAATAACCTCGGTCTCCAATAATTTGCATTCGAGTACCTCTTTATCTCGACTATATAGTTTTTTCATTTTCTCTAAATCCTCCAAATCCTTATCCCTCATTTGTTCCGTTCTGTGAATTGTATCCAACAATTCCTCAATTTGTGTTTCCCTCATATTGGCTTCGACCTTTTGCTGTCTGAGCCTCGACAGTTCTTTCTCGGAGTTGACGATTTCCGTTTGTGCCGTATTCAGTTGTGACTTCAAATCCTCGATCTCGCTCTCCTGACGCTCAATAATGACTAGCAATGTATTTGGATGCGATTGATTTTTGTCGAGCTGATCCCTCAGCATCGTTACTTGATTCTCAAGCAGTTCAACAATCAGCGGATTGTCATTGTTGTTGCTCTGAATGTGACCGCTGGCTTGTTCCTCGTCCTCGCCCAATTCACAGCAAGCCATCATCAAATCTTCTGAACGCACACTGTCAAGAGTGCTTCTTCGCGAACTTGGCGGTGAACTTCTGCTCCGTTTGTAGACCCTCGATCGCGAACTCGAGCGCGATCTTGCTTTAACGCGAGACAACGCAGTCCTCGTCAACGGCGGGGAAGGTGGTAACTCGGACCATTCGTGTTTCGTCGAATCCGACCAGTTGGACCCTTTCAAAGCGAGGGACCATTCCCCGTTCCTCGTGAGCGGTGGTGACACCGGCATTTCCGACCAATCGCCGGACTCTCGGCGTCCACCCTCGGACGCTGTGCGATATTCCTCGTCCGAGGAGAATAAAACTGATCGAGGGGTCAACGGGGTCGAGGGAATGATCGAGTCCCTTTCCCGTTCAGTGATCGAGCTGGAAAATTAAATAAAAATTAGAGCTTGACTGGGAAATTTCTTGACATTTCCTGACGCTTCTTGCAGGGAATTAAAAACTCACGCAGTTGGCGATTGAGGATTAACATCTTGTTGGTTGTCCTGACAGACGTGCGAGTCGACGTTTGATTCTGGATCTGGTAGATTAGCTGCACGTCTAATAGCCGACATCCAACCTGATCGGATACCTCCGGTTATTGCAGACAAAATAGTAGTGCCACGATCATCCCACGTCTGAAAAACAAATTTGTCAAATAAGTTGCTAAATCACTATTCCAAATAGAAACCTGAACCTAAAGTTTCCTTGACTGAATGTGAGCACAAATCGCACTTCTCGTTTAATGGCAAGTAATAGGAAGCACTCTATATGTTCGATTTACTCTAGCATGAAATTGACTTAAATTTTTTCAAGCCACTCCTACCGAGTTAATCCGGTAAATTCAATTCAAGCACAAAGCCCTCATTCTGCAGTCCCACTTCCGTCTTCAAGACAATACACGAACGTTTTAAAAGTTTCTTCAAAATATTACCGTTAACCGCATATTATAAATTTCTAAATAAGTAATATTTAATTTAAGACCTTTATTTAAATTAAGAATAATGATATAAAGCACACTTTAACATAAAGCAATTGAAGGGCTACATAAAATAAGGGGACGAACGCGAGGCTTGGAAGGGATAGTACCAGTCGGGTAGCAGTGACAAGCCTTGAGCCGCTCGCTGCTACCTGACTGATATTATCCCTTTCAACCACGCGTTCGTCCCCTTATTTTATGTAGCCCTTCAATTATAATGAAAATATGTGCATGAATTATTGAAAAATATGCCTAAATGAATGAAATAGTAGAATTGAACGTATATAAAGAATAAAATTTATTGATTTTTTGTTATATTCTTTGCTGGAATCGTTATTATTATCAATGGCAAATCAAGGTTGAAAATTGTAAACATTTTTTGTTGTAATTTTTCATTTTTATTGTTTTCTAGGCATTAGCCTAACTTAAAATCCTAGCCATATTGGATTAAAAAATATTAATATGGGCAGAAGTTAAGCCACTTTTCAAAAATTTGAAAAATAAAATTTTTTAATTTAATGTTGGATTCAAATATTTAAGGCTCGAAAAACAAAAACTCAATAATTGAACTTTTTTGTACTTATAACTTTGATATGTTTTTTTGTTAGAATCATAAGTTTATTTTGCTAAAAAACATTTATTAGAGCAAAAGAGTTGTGGAAAACTCAAAGTTTAAAAAATATTGAATTTTAAATTTTATAAAATTATTCAAAGTTTTATTTTTGTACAATGTTACTTTAATTTATATAAAGTTAACGTTTATGGTTTCTGATTTATAATTAAAAATTAAAATATTTGTTGCATGGCGGTTTTTCAAAAAGCAAAAAGTCAGTCACTAATTGAAATAGTAATATTTCTACTCATCATTTAGTTAAAAATAACTGATGTTTCAGTAGATTTTTTTTAACTGATTTAATTATTCAAATTTAAAAAATTGTCAGTTATTTTTTACTGGCAATCAATTATTTTTAACTGATTCAGAAGCAAAAAGTCATTCACTGATTGTCAGTTGGAACTATGATTTTTAAGTGATTAAATTTAGAGAGAAAATAAATCATCAAAGATTGGTGGTGTTTTTTATGCCTCTCTAGTATAGAAAATTGAAAATGAATCTTTAAAATATTTGTATTTAAGCATTTACAAATTTTATAAATTTTACACAAGTTTTAAGGGCATGCCCAAGTTGCATTTTTAAAATGCGATTGCAGGTCAACATGAAAAAGAACCACTTTGTCGATTTTATTTTACGAGATAATCGCAATTTTCTAAAATGGTTCAGATTTTTTATTTCTCTTTTATTGTTAAAAATTAAACTACCAATTGTCCCACGTTAAATTATGCGTTTACAATAACTTTATCGTAATCAACTTTAAACTTGTTATTTTCTAAATTAAGTTTTGAGCACTTGTAACTTTGAATTTGAGGGCAACTCAAATTGTTTGACATTTTATAAAGAATATAATCATGGAGATAAGTCCAATATTATTTTATTGTAATGTTTCAGAAAACTTACAACTGTTTGAAAGCCATAATTCCGAACACCCTGCACCAAAGTGACGGCAGTTACAGTATTGAGATCTATGACACCATCCATAATTCCTTTATCTTCTGCGCTAGGATCTCGATAATACATCAATCCACATCCTCTCAGAACGAACCAGTGCTTGTTCCATTCCTAAAATTATTTTATTTTATATTTATTGCATTAGTTGACAAAAAGACATTTTTTTATAACAATATAATTTTTTTTACTTGTATAAAAAACTTGAAGCTTTTGTTTACATTTGTTTATCTTTTTAAGTTTTCATTAAATATAATTTAATTCGTACAGTAAATTGTCAAGTTCTGTTTCTAAACAAATAAATAATATTAATATTATTAATTTTATAAAAATACTCTTTTAAATAACTACCGTCAAATAGGGTAACTTCGGAAGGTTTTCTATGTTTTTTATTAATATCTTTTATCTTTTATAGTATAATATCTGCAAGTTTGACGTTCGGAATATGTCATCTTTAGGGTCATCTTTAGGATCTTACAGAAATGTACAAATGTTCAGAGTTACCCAATTTGAAGGTACTGTTTCAATACTTTTCTATAATTAGGAAATATTAATAATAATATTAATTGAATAAAAAAATATCTGAAAAATACGAAACCGAAAAATTAAGGTTTACCTTGTTAAGCCCTTGCTTTAATAACCAGCCTTTTTTAATATTTAATAAATCTTCAGCTGGAAGATCAACTCGCAATTCAGAGGTAGGCGAGTACCTTGTACCGGATATATCAAGACCACAGCCATCAGGATCTCCTCGAATCTAGAAAAATAAATTAGTCATTTATTTTTTATCCCTATTTTTAATCATATGAACATTTTTATGAATTGGTATAATTTTTACCGTTTCCAAGACTGAGGGAAGTAATTTATACTTATAGCTTTGTTAAATATTATTGCTAAATCTTTATAATTAATTGAGGTGTGGAATATTTAAGAACTACGTTAGGTATGTTATGAATTCCTGTACATATTTTATTGGTCAATTTTTTAATTATAAAAGTCAACAAAAAAGGGTTTATAAAATAAGAATATTCGTTTAATTTATTTTTCCAGCATGTCCGACGGTAAGAACGGACACATTTTTTGGTAATTTCTTAACGGTAATAAAATTAATATAAATTAATGAAACGGTCAACGATGAATCTTACTAATTTGTCTTGATGAGTATTATTTACTGCATCAACAACATCTCTAGTTGGTTCTGAGGTTCTAGGTTTGCTTCTCCTCACCCTCGGTTGTGTCAAAGATGCAGCAATATCTCTTAATTTTCCCTCTCGTTCTCTTTCCTGTTCCAAAAATATTCTCCGACAAGCATCGTCATCTGCAAAGGTAACAATTTTTATAATTTTCTATAAGAATTAAATTTTAATTCAGTTTTTTATTAAAAATAAATCATTCCAAATTATTGCAGGGTTTCTACAAAATTCTCCTTATAAAATTCCATGATTTTTCCATGATTTCCAGGTGATAAATGATCAAATTTCCATGACACATTAAAACAAAATTTTTGTCAGTTAAGTCAGGTAAATGGCATGAAATAGTTATTTCTAGAAGCTAAAATAAAAAAATGTGATTTTAAATTGTTAATTAAAAGCTTTATTTCATTGTTTCTCATCAAACAAAAAATGTCAGGGAAATTAAGAAAATTGAAACTTTTTCGACTTATTTTCAAAAATTGCGACATTTTTGACTTTCCTTCCAAACATTGCAATAAAATAACACAATTTTTAGTAAAAAAGTGCAACTTATTTTGATTTTTATAATGCAGGGCTCGAACCAGTGAAAGTATTTAAAAATACGGACTTTATAATTTTACTTAAAAGTCTTCGGACTCGGATTGATCGATTTCTTCACTTCATGTTTTATAATAATAAATAATTAAAGATGGCCCAGTGATAAAATTATTTATTCAAATGCATTGAAAATAATTGAATTTGTGGCGAAGAATTTTATTAAAATTTTTAAAAATAATAATTGAATCCCCTGCGAAGAATTTTATTACTGACAAAAATAATTAAAATTTTTGAAAATAATGGAGTTTCTTTAATAATTTTAATTGTAAATTTTTAAAGTACTTGAATTTTATGAAGAATTTCTTTCAAGTTTTTAAAATAATCATATTTTTAATAACTAAAATTAAACATTCAATTATTAAATTTTATTAAAAGTTAAAAAAATTATTAAATTCCTCCCAGAATTTTATTATAATTTTTAAAAATAATTTAATTGATGCAAAGAATTTTAGTAAAATATTGAAAATAATTGAATTCTTTCGAAGAATAGATCATTAAATTCTTTTGAAGAATTTCTTTAAGTTTTTTGAAAATAATGTAGTTTTTTTAAATAATTTTAATTCAAAACTTTGAGAATAATTAAATTAAACAATGTTCTTCAATTTTTTTAAATAATCGTGTCTGTTAATAATTAAAATTTTTAATTTTAAACTTCAAACAATTTTTAAAAAAATCCTCAATTAAACTTATTTAAAAAAATTAATTCTACAATTATTTAAATACAAAATTAAATAATTTATTGAATAATTGAATGTTTCTTAAAATTGAATTATCATAAAGAATTTTATCAATAAATGTTTAAATAATTGAATTCTTTGGACGAATTTTAATGAATTTTTTAAGAATAACTTTGAAATTCTGCAATAAGTTTTATTATTTATGAAAATAATTGAATTTCTTAAAAGAATGTTGTTATTTTTACGAGAATAAATGAATCTTCTAAAATTTTTAAATAGTTAGAATTTTGTAAAATTTAATTGAAAATAATTAATTTATTTCAAGTATTTTGTTACAATTTTTGAAAATCAACTTTTGAACAATTTTAATTGCAATTTTTTAAAATAATTGAATTATCAAAAATTTTAATGAAAAATCTTTAAAGGTAAATTTAAAAATGAAAATAAGCTTCTAATTTTTTTAAATCCCATATTTTTAATATTTTCAGTCACATATTTCCAAAAATAATAACATTTTAGAATGATTTTTAACATTTTGGAAAAAACAATAATGTTCAAAATTTGTAATTGAAATTCATCAAAAAATTCATTAGTTTTTTTAAATTATACAAAAATTCTTTTAAGAAATACAATTATTTTCGAAAAATTACATTAATAAAATATTTTTAAAAACTAGATAATTATTAGAATTGTTTTGTAATAATTTTTTAAGATTCAAAATTTACTTTTTGGACTTATTAAAGTTTTTGAGAAATCATGGTTCTGTTAATCTGTTTATAATTAAGCAGGAATAAATTAAAAGATTTTACCAAATTTTAATTGTTTGGAAATTTTTCAAAATTAAAAAACTATTATCGTTCAAAAATTATTTAAAAATATTTTTAAAAAATTAATTGTTGGTAAGAATTTCTCTATTATAATTTTTTGAAAATATTATACCTTAATAACTCGTGAAAAAACGATGGAGAGTCACAATTATTATAAAAAATTGAGTTTATGTATTTAAATAATTGAATTCTAGAAGAACTTTTGGAAAATTATTTAAATTAATTGATTCATAGATGAAGTTTAGTTGAAAATTGAAGAAAATAATTAAATTGAGGAAGGGTTATAATTATAGTTTTTAGAAATTATTAGAATTCATAAATTTTACTCACTTTCCGTAAACGTTAATATTTTCCTACTGTGAAAAGAATTTTGTTAGGGAAAGTAATTTTAATGTCAGTAAATTGTCAGGAAAATTGATAAACTGAAACTTGTGACCATCCTGAGTAATAAAGGAGCGCGAATTTCAATCACACGAATTTTTTTTTTTTTTTTTTTTTTGCTAAGGGAATTTTGGGAAATCTGCCTACAGATACCTTGGATTCCGCGCTTCAAGGTTATGTGGGGTTGGTGTGATAAAACAAAAGGAAATAAAAAAAAAAGAAAAATAAATCTATAAAAAATTAAATTTAATACACTGGCGACCTACTACCAGCCCGACCCACTAAAACCCGTAACCCTTCTTCTGAAGCCCTTTACCCTTTACCCAATCACACGAGTTTACAACAAAAACTGAAAAAATTCCATGAGATTTCCATGATTCCATGAATCAAAATGAAATCCCATGACAATTCCATGATTTCCAGGTTTTCCATGACTTGTAGAAACCCTGTATTGTATGAAATCTTTTCAGAAAAGCAAGCTCATAGTTTAAAATTTTTGCTATTAATATTTTTAAAAAATCAACTTTATTATGTAACATTAAAGAGAATTTCTCTTTAGCGAGAAACATATGACTTGATCTAAATTTCCAATTCCCATAGTGTTAATGCAATATAAAATTCAGAGGTTCTTTTTGTGGAAGTTGACAACGATGCTCTTAGATTATAATCGTTGGAAAGTAATCAAGGAACTTATTGGATCGTAGAGAATAGTCACGAACATTTTACTACTGCAGAGCATGGTTGTGTCGTTATCAAACATTCGTTGTTTCACGGCATCAACGTAACCAATTAACTTCTTTCTCCTCTTTACTGTCTTTATAGGCTTTCGAATGTGAAAGCATTACATGTCTACGCGTTAACTTCAACTTATATTCAATCAGCAGCTAATGGACTTGGATTATGTACCTCTGTCGAACTCTCAAAATCTAATTGTCCAGTGCTTCATGTGAGCTTTTTACTGAGATAACTTTTTAGCCATAGGCAGGACAAAAAAGACTCACGTGAGTCCCTCCGAAATCGCTTTGTAAAATTAATATGGATTCAGATAAACATAACGAAAAATCAAGAAGGCTAGAGACAGGAGGTGAAACTTCGGTAGTGGGGATGAGTCAAGAACCTTTCTTTAACCAGGCGTATTTCGTTTCGAAAAGTCGCCGGCGCGGTGCTTCTGCACATCACTCACACATTCAAACTCTTGTATACCGTGTGTTTCACATGTGTATGATATGATTTTAATTTGAGGTTAACTTTAAAGTGCAATCGAGACACAATGTGTGTCATAACGGATATATATATATATGTGGACGTCCACATGAAAAGGGCCCATATTGTCGGTTCTAGTTTTCGAGATAATCGCAATTTAGTAATTTTTGAGCAAATTCTTAATTTTTTTTTTATTTTTTATTATGAATCTACATGTTTTGACAAGTCGAATCATGCGGTTTTCATTAATTTATCCATACTTTAACTGTTTGATTTCATTGGTTCTTTAGAAAAATGAAAAGGGCCTATTTTGTCGGTCATTTGCAAAAGTAATCCGTATTTTAAAAATGGAGGTGTGGAAAAATTTAAAACCTCTTGATTTTTCATCTCTAAGGTGTCCTGGACTGTAAACAATTCTTATCTGAATAACTTCTCAGAAGAACCAGAGATATTGATGTTAGAGTCCTTGTTTTTGTAGTCATAGAAATGAAAAATTCGATATTTCGTGAAATTTTTCGTAATAGAGACTGTTAAAAAAATTTAAATAAGTTTAATATCTACTCTTTTTCTTCAAATGACACAATAAAATTGTACCTAATCATTAATCCTGTAAAAAAATGGTTTTTTAATAGAAAAACTGTCCTTTTTAGAAAAGGGCCCATATTGTCGGTTTCTCGTACTTAAGTACGAAATTTTTCAAAATTAAGAGGGGGGAAGGTTTTAAAAATTTAAAACTTATTGGTTTTTCATCTTTTAGGTACCCTGGACTGTAAACAATTCTTATCTGAATAACTTTCCAGAAGAACCAGAGATATTGATGTTAGAATCTTTTTTTCGTAATTGTCGAAATGAAAATTTTAATATTGCGTCAATTTTTTCATAATAGAGACTGTCAAAAATTTTTAAATAAGTTTAATATCTATTCTTTTTCTTCAAATGACACAATAAAATTGTACCTAATCATTTATCTTGTAAAAAAATGGTTTTTTAATAGAAAAACTGTCCTTTTTAGAAAAGGGCCCATATTGTCTGTTTCTAAATTAATTAATTAATTAAGGGGAGGGGGTGGTTCTAAAAATTTAAAACCTGTTGGTTTTTTATCTTCAAGGTGCCCTGAACTAGAAACAATTCTTATCTGAATAACTTCCAAGAAGAACCAGAGATACAACAATTAGTTGGTATCGCAATCTTTAATTCCGTTTTTCTCGAAATGAGGTTTTTGGCGTTCTAAACTTTGAAATTCCGTAACTCAGCGAATTTTCAACCAAAAAAGTTCTAAGACCACTCAAAATTCTCCAAATTTTGCCAGGATTACGCCCATATAGATAACTCCAATAGTGCCAAAATGGGCCCTTTTCATGTGGACGTCCACATATATAGAAATAATGTGAGTGATTATTAAATTGAGTGTTATTCAAATAATTAAAAATTCCGAAAACG